ATTCCTTGTTTAATTGTACTATAGTTTTATTTACTGTTATACATTGCAGTACTACATGTAAGTTATACAAATAAAAGCAATGCCATCAAATTGGAGTTTCCTTTGGTCATTTCTTTGTTCTGAATATTGTAATGTACATACTATATACAATTCCTCATTTAGTGATCAATTCAATTAATGTCCTAGTTGCAGGATCTCAACTGGTTTTTTTTTTGGTACCGGGAATTGAACTCAGGACCTTGCAATTGCCAGGCAGGAGTGGGGCCACTGAGCTACATCCCCAGCTCAATTGTTAAATGAGAAACGTATGTACTTGTCTGTATTAAAAACAAAAAACAAAAAAGAAAGAAAATAAAGTAATTTTTTTTTTTTTGCAGGGCTGGAGATTGAATCCACAACCTTACACATGCTGGGTAAGCACTTACCAGTGAGCTACATCTTCAGTCTCCTCCCCCACTTTAAACTTTTGAGGGGTCCCCAGGCGTGGTGGTGCATGCCTGTAATTCCAGCACTCTGGAGGCTGAGGCAGGAGGATTGCTGTAAATTTGAGGCCAGTCTGGACTATCTAGTGAGTTCAAAGCTAGCCTGAGCTACATAGCAAGACCCTGTCTCAAAACAAAACAAAACAGGGTTTGGTTTACAGGGCAGGTGCATGTAATCCCAGAACTTGGGAGGCTGAGACAGGAGGATCGCTATGAGCTCAAGGCCAGCCTGAACTATACAGCCAGACCCTGTTTCAAAACAAACAAACAAACAAACCCAAAAACCAAAATGCAAAAACCAACAAAAAAAACCCTTTGAGAGGTCTCCCTAAATTGGCCAGGCTATCATTGATCTTCTTTCCTCAGCCTCTTGAGTGGCTAAGATTATAGGAATAAGCCAAAATGCAATGCCTGGCATAAATTAAAGTATATGAAAAAATTCAAATACAAATAGTAAACAGAATAATGTAGGGGCCGGGGATTTAGCTCAGTGGTTCCTGTGCCTGCCTTGAAAGGGAAAGGGTCCGAGTTCCAAAAAAGAGAAAAAAAAAAGTTACAGGATAATGTATTCATTATCCAGCTTTATGAATAACACAGTGCCTTTATTGTCTCATCTACATTTCTAGCCATCCCCCCACAACAGTTTCTGTGGTAAAATTTACATGTGTTGAAATGTATAAATGTGAACTATTTGACATAGTTTGAAATGGGCCCATAACCCACCACTACACTATGACAAAGAAACTGTATCCAATTGACTCTGCTAATAAAAGACATAAAAAAGAAAAAAGATTTTGTATTCTCTTCTCAAAGTTTCACAGTTTTGTTTAGTGTATTATCCATCTCAAATTAATTCTTGTGTATCATGTGAGTTAGGCATCAAAGTTAATTTTTTTCTTCCTCAGCTATTCCATTACTATTTGTTGAAAGACTTCCCTTTCTCCACTCAACCACTTTAGTGCCTTTGTAGAAAATCATTTATTCATCATATACCCTTTTCTGTACTCCATTTGGTTCATATTTCCCACCCTTACTGGGGATTAAACCCAGGGGTTTCACCTATGCTACATCCCCAGACTTTAAAAAAATTTATTTTTGAGATAGGGTCTAACCAAGTCACTAATGTTGCCAAGGCTGGGCTCTAACTTGTGATCTTCCTGTCTCAGCCTCCCGAGAGCTGGGATTATAGGCATGTGCCACCATGCCCAGCCTGTTCATCGCTATAGATGCGTAGTAATCCTGAAATCAGACAGTTAGAGACACCAACAATGTGCTATTTCATTTTGGAACTAGCATGTCAATTTCTATATACTAGCCTGTGAAGATTTTGATTGAAATTGAATTAAATCACTTTGGAGAATGTATTCACATATATTATCATTAAACCTCCCAATCCATGAGTATAGTTTCTCTTCTTTATTTAAATCTTCCTTAAATTCTGAGATATTTTATAATTTTCAATGTAGAGCTCTTGTACGTTAAATTTATCCTCGAATGTTATATTTTTATATTACATGTTACATTTTAATGTTAATGAATGGCATTTACAAATTTTTTATTGGTATATATTTGTAGTGCATAATGATTACATTCATCATGGACTATAGCCTTTTTTTTTTTTTTGAGACAAGGTTTTGCTACATAGTTCAGGCTAGCCTTGACTTCACTATGTAGCTGAGGCTGGCCTCAAACCTTGTGGGGATTCTCTAGATGTCTCAGCTTCTCAAGTGCTGGAATGGCATTATTTTTAAAGCAGGAGGTTTATTTTGGCTTATGAACAGTATTGTTTTATTTTTTTTCTACTTGGCAATAGTATACTTTATTTTTTGCATTAAAAATTTTATTGGTACATTTTAGATATACAAAATGATAACATTCATCATAGGGAACATGATATATCTTGCTTGTTTTTTCCCATTCCCCTCCTCTCCCCTCCCTTCAACCCTCTTCCTCTCCGTATTTACAAAAGCTTTGTTTCCATTGGGAATACTATCATTTTAAAAAATCATTTTCTAACTTCTGACTCAATGGTTACCAGTACTGTATATAAAAATGCAATTTAGCCGGGGATTTAGCTCAGTGGTTTCGCCGCTTGCTGCGCAAGCGCAAGGACCAGAGTTCGATCCCCGGTACCAACAAAACAATAACAAAAAATAAACAAGATCTCCTTCCTTTGGCTTCCCATGAGGTGGGAGCCACACCTTTAAAAAAAAAATGCAAGTTAGGTATATCACCTTTGTAATCTGCATCTCTGCTCCATTTGCTTACTAGCTCTCATAGCTTCTAATGACTTTTCAAATACGCAGTAATACAGACTGTAAATAGAAGATCTTCCATTGTTTTGAGAAGAGTCTTGCTATGCTTGATTTGCTAATTTTTTTCATAGTTTGCATTTGGAAAAAAAAGTTATGTTGTATTGTTGTAGTCTGTAATGAACATGTACAGATCATTCCCCTTCAAAACTACAGTATAACAACTACTTACACAGGATTTATTTGTATTAAGTATAATGCTTTAAAGTATATGTGAGGATATGCATAGGCAATAGGCTTATACTATGCCATATATAAAAGACTTGAGCATGGGGAACCAACCCAGTGGAAATCTAGGGATGACTGTACTAAATTGATATTCAGAGATAATGCAGACCTTTGCAGACACAAGGATAGCTCTGAAACCTGTCCTTTGGGCAAGAAAATCTACATATACCTACATTAGTGAACAGCAGGGCCAGGCTCAGGCATTTCTGTTATTTCCCTCTCTGCCTTGGAAACATGTTTTCACATTCAGAAGCGATTGGGATTTTGACACCTTGTCCAGACAAACTACAATCAGCTGTTACCTGGGAGGCTTTATCTGCATAACAAAATAATATTTGCTCACTATGGACCTTCTCCCCTCAATTTTCCATAATCTGCACTCCCTCCTTCCCTCCGAAAGCCCAAGCTCCTATCCCGGTTTAGTTCTATATAAAACTGAATTATGGCCTTCCTGAGTCTCATACTGTGTATGTGTAGCTCCTGTTTAATAGAATGTTACTTTCCCCCAATTAATCTATGGTCAATTTATTTCATAAACTAAAATTATTGAAACTTCGGAGGAACAAGAGGAAATTTAACAGTTTTCTATACCGCTGTGTGTAAATGCTATCTCTGGTTAGAAAATACATAAGCACATAAGCAGGGCGCACCGTGCCTGGCATACCGCGGATACATGATAGTAACTGAAATGAAAGACCACCCCTAAATATTGAAGACGCAGAAAAAATGGACGAGCCACTGAATGGGTAGGTTCCGCCGCCTCCCACTAGGGTAAACTAAAGGCGACCAGACAGTTGCACTTAGGACCTAGGGATGCCTTCCTCACAAGGCCCTCCCCTTCCGCTTTCAGGACGTTCGGTCAACGTCCAGAATTGGAGTGGGCTAGTCCCAAATCGGATACTAGATAAATTGCTTTTCCGATACAAACTAGTGAACTACCATTGCACTCTTTGAAAATCTGGTTTCTTAGAGTACCCACTTTCTAAAATACCCACGTCTTGCCTTCTGCACCTTTACCCCCCCCCCGTATCTCACGCAATAGTAGCGTCCACCTAGGGTGCGGACGACCTAGGGGGTGGAGCACACCATCCAAAGAGAGGGAGGTCTTGAGGTTTGAATCAAAACAAACACCCTTTCTTTGCAAAAGCAATAACCAAATAGTCCAGAAAAACAGAGTGGGGGAAGGAGCAGTAGCTTCTCTCCGAAAGCAACAGGAACCAGCCTAAAACATTTTTTTCTCTTTCTACTCCCCTCTTGTTCGGTGAACAGTGAGCTGCTCCGACAAAAAGAAACCGGAAACGCTACTGCAAGTAGCAGAAATGTAAATATGGAGCCAAACAATAACAGGGCTACTAGGCTTCTCAGACCCTGACGGTCCTGCGCGGGCTTGCTTACATTTTACGTAGCATTTCCCACTTCCATGGCTGACAGTCTTTAGGTGGATTTTCTCCACGTAATGGAGCTGGGGGCCCGCTGGAAATACCACTCCATAAAGGACAAAGGTCCGGAAGTTGTGGGAACTTAGCAGCTCGGGCTTCCCACTTGATTTCGGAATGGAGCCCAGGGTTTCAGTAGGATACCATGAACTCTAAAATCTCGAGGCATGAGTTCCTTAAGTCTCAAACCCAAGTGTTTTGTGCATCTTATTTTAGGGCCTCTCAACAGCCAGCACTGAGTACACAGGTGTGCTTAGGGCGTGGGGCATCCCTTAGGTCTCCATCCCCTAAGTTCCAAACCCCTTTCCAGATATCTAGCTTTCAGTCTGGTTAGTTGTAACATCCCCATCATCTACCTCCATGCCTCCCAACATTGCCTTCCTATGCTGATCCTGCTATCTAAGCTTCCATTCCCCGTACTCACGCAAACTCTCTAAGTCCCCACTGCCCCACCCCCAAACCTTGCAATTCTCGCAGCAAATACTCGGAGCCCGAGAGTCCGTGACTCAAGGAGGACTCATCACGCTTAGTCAAGAGCTTACCCAGTTCTCAGGGGAGCGTGTCACGGTCCTGGGAGGCACGCTCCGAGCCCGGACGCCTGGTACCCCCAGAGCCCAGCAGCCACCAGCCGTGAGGATGGTGGCTCTGGACTTTAGAGCAGCTCAAAACTTTTAGCGCCAGTCTGAGCACATGGGAGGGGGAAATCCCAATCCCAGCAGCCCTCGCGAGACTCCTGGCACAAAGCTGGACAGTCGCCATGACAAGTAAGGGCAAGTAATTTTCCTGGAGGCGGAGAAGGAAAGGAAATGGAAAATTGCTGAAGTGGGTGCAGAGAGTCAGGATTCTCGCTGTTATCGGTGCTATAGCTACTAATATTTTGGGGTGGTAAGGTAGTACAAGCCAGAGCTGTGAGGGCAGAATCGGTGGAAACCATTTTGGTGGAGTCTTGCCACTGTGTCAAGTATAAAGGGTTGAAGGAAGTCTTTGCATTTGCCATTCACGCTGCCTGGAACATTGACTGTTCTTTTAATTCCAGCTGGATAGTTTTTCCCTTATCAGCTAAAATGTCACCTTTTAGGAAGGCTTTCCTTAATATCTCAGTCTGAGGCGTTCCGTAGATATCTTATATCACACCATCTTGTTTAATTTCCTTTATGGCCCTTATCACTATCTGTAAAAGTTTATCTATTCATTGCCTTTCATGCACAGCAACAAAAACCGTATGAGGGTTGAGAATTTGTTAACTGTATTATTCATTGTTATATTCTCCAACGCCTAGGTGGGAGAGTAAAAGCTTGATTGATAATAAATATTTATTGAATGAATGAATGAAAACAAGAAGCCTGAAGAATTTGGCGGAGATGCAGTAGAAGTGCAAAACGTGTAAAAATCATGCGCCCTCTGCAGGCGAGGGAGAGTGGCTGCTTTAAGAATTACCGTGGGAGGGCTGGGGATTTAGCTCAGTGGTTTGGCTGGCTACTGCGCAAGCACAAGGACCTCAGTTCAATCCCCGGTACAAATAAATAAATAAAATAAAATAAAATAAAATAAAATAAAAGAATTACCGTGGGAGATGGTCGGATGTTTTCACCCAGGTAAAGCATTCAGACTACAACTCCTAGCAGCCACTAGGAGTCCCCAGGGTAAACCTAACCAGTTACTTCCTGTCCCAACCCTTCTTGGGTTGCCGGCGAAATCTGATCCGGGGTGCCGAGGTCCAATCGGAAGGAGGGCCCAAATCCCGCGAGAACAAGTTGCTCGTAGCGACCCACGGAACGCGGTGCTTTCGGTTTGGCATCCCCTCGGTGCGCCTGGCTTCCGGGGGGGCGGGGGTCTTCTGCCTCACCGCAGAAGAGGAAGAAAGGCACTAGTGGGCTTTTTTAGTCTTGCCTCCGGATCCCTGAGAACTTCGGAGCTGCCTGGGCCACTCCGCGGACCGGGCAGCCGGTACCAGCTGAAAGAGGGTTGCCCGGCCAGGGCCAGTGGCTGTCTCGCTTCTCTGCACTATGAAGATGTCGGAGGAGCGACTCTCATCGCCGGACGGGCTTCCTTCATACCAGACTCTAGCTCCAGCCGGTCCTTCCCCCCAGGATTCCCTGATGGACAAAAATACAGACCCTCAACTGATCCCACCATCACCCAATAGAGATGACCCCCCCCCAACGTCGCCAGATCCTTTCGCTGGCCCAGCTGTGTCCCAGGAGCTGGGGGAGGGGGACCCAGCTTCTCCCTCCGCACCCCTGGAAGCAAAGTTTGATACTCCTAGGGACTCGAGTCCTCCAATCAGGAAGCAAGAATTTTCTGAAAATGCAAGCCTGCCTACAGAAGAAACGAACGGGCCAGAGTTGGGGGCTGGAGAAGCCGAGGAAAATACGTCTGAGGATCCCGGTCCAGAGGCTGAGGGAGACAAGTAAGTGGCAGTTGATCTAGAATCTGAGGAGAGTGAAAACGTGAGAGATCTTATCCACCAGTTCTCAGTCCCACTACTCCAGGCCCATTTCCCTTTTGCTGTGGCGACCCAGATTTGTTGTTCTTCATCTTCCTTCCAGCATTTGGAGCTACAGCTTCTCCCAGCTACCTCGATTTCTTAGTGGTTCCTGGTCTGAATTCAGTGCCCAACCTGAGAACTTCTTGAAAGGTTGTAAATGGTAAGTGAGGATAGTGGATCGGGGAGTTGACTGCCTTGCGGGTTTTCACCTTAAAACACTACACTTATTTGGGAGAAGGATTCATGAAAAGTGGGTGAAGGAGTAGGAAATCACTCTGATGACTGAGCTTAAGTTTTATCTAGGACGGGTGGCAAACCAACCTATGGCATGCATGCCCCAGTGGGCTGTTTGTATCGTTGAAAGCTCTAAAAGGTTCGCCATCACTGATCTAGGACTTTGTGTCTCATATCAAGGTCTGGGTGTCACTTATCATAGAGGTAGGCTCAGCCCTTGGTCTACACTTGGAAAGCATCTCCAGTTTTCTAACTCTTATACTATATTTTTAGGGCCCCCGATGGTTCCTGCATCTTGACCAATAGTGCTGATAACATCCTTCGGATTTATAATCTGCCCCCAGAGCTGTACAATGACGGGGAGCAAGTGGAATATGCAGAAATGGTGAGGGTAGGGGCTAACGTTGCCTCTTCATCGGACACTGAACGTTTACTTCCTTCATGTAGATGGAGAAAATATAGTTCACAGGTTTCCTCTTCACAAAGGGGGATTTCTTTTACTGTGAATTTCCACATGTAGTTTTTTGGGGGGTTTTTTTGAGACAGGGTCTCCCTATGTAGTCCAGGCTGTCCTCGAATTTGTGGCAATCCTCCTGCCTCAGCCTTCTAAGTGTTGGGATTACAGGCATGTGACACCATGTCCTGCTCCACATGTAGCTTTTCTGCCTTGAACTCTTAAATCATTTAGAGATATTCATCCCCTCTTTAGTCAGGAATACATGTTTTCTGTGGAAAAGTAGTGGCTTTTCGCTGGGTGTGGTGTCACATTCCGTAATCCCAGCACTTAGGAAGCTGAGGCAGGAGGATCACTGGGAATTTGAGGCCAGCAAAAAAGAAAAAGTAGTGACTTTCTTGTGACAGTATTTAACTATGACTACCAATATGTCAGTCACTGTGTTTAGTGCTAGTATAATAAAGAGGTGAAGATAAAAAGCTGGTTGTTTTTCTTGTGTGATTTGCAGATGTAAATCAGTAAATAGGCAGTATCATTACAGCCACGAGTGGTGGTGCATGCCAGGGGAGGCTGACGCAGGAGGATTGAAAATTTAGGCCAGCCAGGGATTTAGCTCTGGTTCCTCCACCTGCCTTGCAAGTACCAGGTCCCGAGTTTGATCCTTAGTACAAAAAAAATGAAAGAAAATTTAAGCCCAGCCTGTGCAATATAGTGAGACTGTTTTAAAATTTTAAAAAAGGGCTGGGGATGTAGCTCAGCATGGGCTGCATAGTGATGCCCTATCTCTAGAAAAGCAGTAACACATGTTCTAAAGGAGATAAACAGTGAGGAAGGACTTACCAGGAGAGACCACTTTAGATACAGTAGTGGAAGGGTGGGGCTCTGAAAAAGAGACCTGTGAGGGAGACCCAGAGGATGATAATGGATCAGTCCTGTGAGGCGCAAGGAAAGAGCCATCCAGGAAAAGGCACTGATAGTATAAAGACTGAGAGCTGGAAAACAGTGTCTGTTCACAGAACTTGCATAAAATGTGTCAGTAGGGGAAAGTAGGGTGAGGATGGAGAGGTGATGAGCAGATGTATCATGTGGGGTTCTGTGTGAAGGCCTTTTGGAGTTCGAGAAACCATGGGAGAGTGTTTTTCTTTTTTTTCTGAGACAGAGTCCCACTGTGTAGCCCAAGCTGACCTCTAAATTGTGGTGATTTTACTGTCTCAGTCTCTCAAGTGCTGGGGTTACAGGCATGTGTCACCACGCCCAGCTTGCATGGGAGAGTTTTAAAAGAAGAGTGTACCAAAAGAAAAAAGAGGAGTGAATGGACTGTGGGTGAACTAGACTGAAGTCTAGGGGACTTAATAGGATGTATTTATTATCATGTAGGCAGAAGATGATGAAGAATTGGGCAAAGTGAGTCTGGAGAGATGTGGATGGACTTGAAGTGTATTTTGTAGATCTTAGAGATCCACTGGACATGGAGGTAGAGGGAAGGGAGCAATCAAAGGCAGTGTTCATATTTTTGCAGCTGGTTGGATGGTTGGAACAATTCAGAGGAGAGAACAGGGATATGAACAGGTACTAGCACAGAAGTCAAGGGTTTTTAAGTATGCTAAATGTGAAATAGAAAGCTAAGGGGAGAAATTGGGATTGGGAATAAACTTTGAGAAGTGGTAGAACTTCTATATGGCATCTCATGCCTTGAGAAGGGATTCAATCTTTAGAGAGCACATGGATGGAGGAGGAGAAGCATCTTTCCTGACAAGTTAAGTGTCTCTTGTTTCCTTGTTTGTAAAGTGAGGATGATAATGACACCCACCTCACAGAGTTGTTTGAGAATTGATAATAAATTAATATAAAGTGCTTAAAACTGCACCTGGGATATAGTGATTGTTCAATAAATAGTAGTAGTAGGGCTGGGATTTAGCTCAGTGGTTCTGGCGCCTGCCTTGCAAGTGCAAGGTCCTGAGTTTGATCCCCGTTACCAAAAAAAAAAATAGTAGTAGTCATTGGTATCAGTTTCATGCATGCATGAAATAGGAGGATAGTCTGGCTGGGGATTGCCAAGAAAAAGAGAGAGCAAGGGTATCCTGAGAGTGTCCTCAGGGGCCTGCTTGTCAAGGTGGACTAGAAGTGGACAATAAATATGATTTTGATGAAGGTGAATAATTTTCTGGTAGAAACAGTGACAAATAGGAAAAGTGAACTGGATGGGTCAGAGATGGTAGTAGGAGACTGAATTGAAGTGTGCTGCCTTGGAGATGACCAAGCCTAGGACTTGACCATGAGAGTGGGCAGCAGATGTAGACTGAAGACAATTGATGTGGTCGCGGAAGAAATAAAGGCATGAGTCAGGCCCAGATTAATTGGACAAGTCCATTAATTCTTTCTCAGTTTGTTTCTTAATACATTTTTTTTGGTACCAGGGATCGAACTGAAGACCTTGTGCTTGCAAGGCAGGCAGTGGCACACTGAGCTAAACCTCTGGCCCTTGTTTTGTTTTTGAGACAAGGTCTTACTATGTAGTTTAAGGGCGCCTTGAACTCACTATGTAACCCAAGCTGGCCTCGAACTCATAGAGATCTTTCTACCTCAGCCTCCTGAGTGCTAGGATTACAGGCATGCACCACCATGCCTGGATGTTTTCTTTTTGTTTTCTTGAGACAGAGTCTTGTTAGATGTCTAGGCTGGTCTTGAATTTCTAGGCTTCAGCCGTCCTCCTGCCTCAACCTCCTGAATAGTGGGACTCAGGCATATCACCACGCCCAGTTAGTTTAATGGTTCTTTATTTTTGTTTTGTTTTGTTTGTTTGTTTTGAGACAGGGTCTTGCTATGTAACTAGGCTTGCCTTGAACTCACTATGTAGCTCAGGCTGAGATTACAGGCATGTGCCACCATGCATGGCTTTTTTTTTAAGACAGGGTTGGAATTATAGGCATCAGCCACCATGCCCAGCTCAGTTTAATGCATTTTTTTTTTTTTTTTTTTTGGTACCTGCGATCGAACTCGGGACCTTGCGCTTGCAAGGCAGGCGCCTGAACCACTGAGCTAAATCCCTGGCCCAGTTTAATGCATTTTTATTGAGCACATTCTGTATACCAGGCTGAGGTGCTGAGACCTGGGCAGGCACAAAACATAAAAGACCTTGTTCTTGTGAAGCTTATAACCAAGTGCTGGGCATGGTGATATACATCGGTTTTCCTAGGTACTTGGGAAGTTGAGGCAGGAGGATTCCAAATTTGAAGCTACCCTGAGCAACTTAGCAAGACCTTGTCTCAAAATAAAAAATAAAAAGGTCTGGGGCTGTAGCTCAGTGGTAGAGGAAGGGCAATACAAAGAGGTAGCTGGGCTGATGTCAAGAAGTGCAGGGGAGCTTGTGTTTGGGAAAATAAAAGATTTGGAAATTAGGAGCATGTGATATCCATCCACCTCCTGTCCTGGAAGTGTGTTTTGTTGAGAGGACCACAGGGGACAGCCAGGGCCTGGCAAGTCCAAAAACATAAATGGAGCCTTCTGAGGAGAAAATGAGAAATAAGAGGGTTTTAGATCCTAGAATAGGCATTTTAGGGGCCCCAAGTTAAGGTTGGAGAGGATGCTTGGAATTGTGTCTATACTGAATATGTATAGGTTTTTTTCTTGTCATTATTTCCTAAACAATACAATGTAACAGTTATTTACATAGCATTTATCTTGTATTAGGTATTATAAGTAACCTAGAAGTGATTTAAAATATATGGGAGGATATGTGTAGGTTCTATGCAAATACTAAGCCATTTTATTTTTTTAAAATTTATTTTGCAGGAATGGGGATTGAACCCAAGGCCTTTGCACTGAGCTACATCCTCAGCCCATTTTAAATTTTTTAAAAGTTTGATTGTTTGCTTGCTTGTTTTTATGACAGGTTTTTTTATGTATTTCAGGCTGGCCTTGAACTCACTATGTATGTAGCCATGCTAGCCTCAAACTTGTGGTGATCCTCCTGCCTCAGCCTCGTGTGTGCTGGGATTATAGGAGTGAGCCACCACACCTGGCATGTTTTTTATTTTGAGACAGGGTCTTCTTAAATTGCTAAGTTGCTCAAGCGGTGTTTGAATTTGGCATCCTTCAGCCTCAGCCTCCCAAAATGCTGAGATTACAGGCATGCACTACACGCCTGTCTCTTTCACCATTTTATATAAGTGACTTGTGCATCCACGGATTTTGATATGGGGTGGGGGTCCTGGAGTCAGTATCCCTCAGATCCTGGGAGATGACTGGATTTCTATATGCCTGTGTGAACTAGGTCTTCTGCCCAACATAGTTTTCCAGTTCCTCTCCTCCTTTCTTTATCATTTCACAGAGCTTTCTGAAACTTGTATTCCTAACCCCCTAGCCTCTTCCGTAACTACTCGCCCAACCAGGTAGCTCTTGTTTTTCTCCCTGTGATGCTGAGGGTGGAACCCAATTCCTTGCACATGCTAGGCAAGCTCTCTTGCCTCTGAAGTACATCCTTAGCCCTAGCCTGTGGCTCTTGTGGAGCCCTTCCCTGCCCCTCTGCCCCTCTCCAGGAGGGTCTTGTCTTCCCCTGTGCCTTCTGTTTCTTAGATTAGGGATGAGGGTGCCTTCATTCTCAAATGCTAGAGCCTCATTTTTGCAAAGTCTCTCTTTCAGTCTATGCTATCTGATTTTCTCTCAGTCACCAAGGATGTTTGCACCTCATGGCTTTGCTAGGTTCCCCACGTCCTCCACTGACTTTGTGGCTTCAGGTATAGAGGCCAGAAGCTAGGGTCTCATACTTTCATCTTCCTTCTCCAGTCGTCCCACATCCAATTAATTACCAAATCTCATTAAATCTGCCTAATCTTTCTAATCTACCCACTTTTCCTCATACCACTGCCTCTGCTTCAAATCAGGGTTTTATTATTTTGGGCCTTTTGTTCCTAAAATGATCTCTTGTCTCTCCTTGTTCATGAAAACATGTACTGATTGCTGATTACCCACTCACTAGGTGTTGGAAGATCGTGGTAGGTAAAACAGGATGACTCCCACCATCTCAGATAAGGACTCTGCAGTATGAGCTCCGCAGGGGACTTAGGGCCTAGGGGAGGCTTCCCAGAGGAAGAAGCAGCTCAGAGCCCTGGAAAAAGATGAGGATTCAGTCTGAGGAGTTACTGGGGAGGTGAAGGAAGAATATTCCAACTTGGAGACCACTACATATGAAAGCTGCAGATTGAGAGTATGCAGAGTTGAGAGTCAAAATGTTAGGATGCCATTGGTGGGAGTAAGTAGGTAGGGATGAGCCTTGAGTGGTGGGTTGGGGATGGACACCTTTGTAAGGATGGGCCACATGGAGTCACTGAAATGTTTATTTATTTTTTGAGATAGGATCTCGCTATGTAGTTCAGACTGGCCTTGAACTCATTCTGTAGCCCAGGCTGTTCTTGAACTGTGATCCTCCTGCCTCCCGAGTGTTGGGATTGCAGGCGTGCACCACCATGCCTGGCTCCATTGAAATATTTTCAACAGGAGGGTGACTTTGTACAGAATTCAGACTTAATTCTTAGATCTTGGGGGCCTTGATATGATTGCAAGTGTGGAGAATGGATGGGCAGGTTGAAATGAGGGGTGTGGGGAGACCCAATGAATATGTAGAGTGCTGCAGAAATGCCAGCAAGAAGGCAGTGGTTTGTACTGGGTTCTTCTGAGTGGGAACAAAGAGGAGAAGATGGATTGAGGGAAACCTGATTGAGGGAAACCTAGAGGAGGAACTGGCAGCTTTGATACTGAGTTGGGCCAGGAAATGGGTGAAGGAATAGTGGTGGTCAAGGCTGGTGTGCACATTCCAGGGTTGAAAACTGGGTGTGAGGCCCAGGAGGACCAGCAGGCATGAAGCAGGGAGATGCTGGGCCTTTTAGGGACAAATAGAGTTTGTGGAATGCCCCAGTGGAGCTGTCCTGCAGGCAGTTGGTCATATGGATTTAGACCAGTGGGGTAAAAATTGAAGCCATTGCTGGGTGACAGCTCTGTGAGGGTAATCACATAACTGATGAAGGACTGGCACATCATTCTATTATGAGTTTCTATAAACCAGTAAGAAAAACAACCTGGTTTAAAAAGTGGACAAAAATTATGACAAGTTTACCCAAATGGCTGGTAAATATATGGAGAGATGTCTAAACTCACTTTATAGTGATGGAAATGCAAATTTATGCCATAACAAAATACTATTTTACGGCCTTCAAACTGAAAAAAATATAAGTCTAACAAGTCAAGAGGATAAAGAGCACCAAACTGAACGATCTTCCTTCCACCCACCCACCCTTTCCTTCCCTTTCTTTCTTCCATTCTTTTTGTGGTACCAGGGATTGAACCCAGGGGTGTTCTACCACTAAGCCACACACCCCCCTTATTTAATATATATTGGAGATTGAACCCAGGATCTTCACATTGAATTGTATCCTCAGCCCATTTTATATTTTGAGATAAGGACTTGCTAAATTGCCTAGGCTGGGCTCAAATTTGGTATTCTCTTACCTCAGTCTCCCAGAATGTTAGTATTACAGGCTGTGCCACCACACCCTACTCCCATCATCCCTTTACATTTTTTAACTTTGGGACAGGTTCTTTCTAAATTACTCAAAATGCCCTCAAATTTGCCATCCTGGCTCAGTCTCCTGAGTAGCTGGGATTATAGGCATGACACCTGACTACAAGGCACTCTTACACACTGATGTGAGGAGAGTAAGTTAAGATGAGCACTTTGGAATCAAATTTAACGTTATCTCAAAGTTGGTGATACAGATAACACAGAAACCAGTGATTTTACTACTCTCCAGCAGATGCTGTGGAGAAACCCTTCCCCATGTTTCAGAATGTCAAAGCCAAAAGATAGAACCATCAGTGACTGTCTGCAGGGGAGGGGTAGATCAGTGTGGTACCTTGTGGAGCAGAGTATTATGCAGTAGTGCCAGTGTGCAAATCAGAGCCAAATGTGTCACTGAGGCTCAATCTCACCACAGTCACAGGTGTACATGCAATATGATACCATAATAAACTTAAAAGTCACGCAATACAATGCTAGATACTGGGGTTATTTTCCCCCTGTATAACTATATTCCTAAAGAAATATGTAAGCCACACATGGTGGTTTGTACCAGTAATCCCAGCACTTGGGAGGCTGAGGCAAGAGGATTGCTGCAAGTTTGAGGGCCAGTCTGAGCCACATAGTTCAAGGGCAACCTGAACTACATTAGCAAGACCCTGTCTCAGAAAAAAAAGAAAGAAAGAAAGAAATGTGTGAGAATGATAAATTAGGACAGTGTCACCTCTGAGGGAAGATTTCTGCTAGGAAAGGGATTTTAACATTTTTTTCCCTTAAACCAGATGAAGAGGTCACTTTTTGTTTGTTTTGGTACTGGTACTGGAGATTGAACCCAGTACACTGAGCTCTGTCCCTAGTCTTTTTTTACTGTTTGAGACAGCGTCTTGCTAAATTGCTAAGTTGCCCTGGTTGGGTTTGAACTTGGGTTTCGATCCTCCTGCCTAAACCTCCCAGAGTGTTGGGATTACTGGCATGTACTACCATGCCCAGAAGTTTTATGTATTTATTTATTTGTTTATTGTAAGATCTTTGCTGTTTGAACTGTTTGTTTTTGTAGTACTGGAGGTCAGGCTCAGGGCCTTATGCATGTCGAGTAAGTACTCTATCACTGGTCTGTATACCCAGCTCTAATCTTTTGTTTTGGTACTGAGTTTTGAACTGGGGACCTTGCACTTTCGAGGCAGGTGGAGGAACCACTAAGCTAAATCCCTGGCCCTCCCAGCCCTAATCTTTAAAGAATAAAATGGAACCTAGTAGGTGCTCAGTAAATATTTATATTATTGGTTGGCTTTTTCTTTTTTGTCTCTGGGTCATTCATTTCTTTCTTTGTGTTTTTGTTTTTGGTACCAGAACACGGGACCTTGCACTTGCGAGGCAGGCAGTGAAACCACTGAGCTAAATCCCTGGCTCAGGTTCATGCTTTTTAAACACAAAGAAAGAGGGCTGGGGATTTTGCTCAGTGGTGCTGCCACTTGCCTCTTGAAAGCACAAGGTCCTGAGTCCAACCCTGGTACCAAAAAAAAAAAGTATGAACCTATATGGCTCTTAGTGGCCTAAATCTGATATTTAAGGCTGAATTGAACATTGAAGATTTGCTTCTTTATTTATACTCCATCTGCTTTCTCCTGTCTGATTAACACATGGTCTTCCTCTCTTCTGTAAAATGCTAGGGGCACGGGCCACTGACTCCTTTTCCCAGCCAGTGACCCTGTCATTCGTGCATCTCTGTCCAGGTCCCTGTCCTTCGAATGGTGGAGGGTGATACCATCTACGATTACTGCTGGTATTCTCTGATGTCCTCATCCGAGCCAGATACCTCCTAGTAAGTGATGTTCTTTGCCCTGCGCACCCCACCCCCCGCCCCCATTCAAGGGACTCCTCCACTGAGTGTCAGGGCTGCCAGGGATATCCAGAGAAGGAAAGTTCATGTGTCCTCAGATGGGAGCTGAAAGGGCCAGTCAGTTGGCTTCCTTCCCGTCCTTTGACAGTGCCAGGGCCTCAGTGTCCATGTCTCTCTCAGTGTGGCCAGCAGCAGCCGGGAGAACCCGATTCACATCTGGGACGCCTTCACTGGAGAGCTCCGAGCTTCCTTTCGTGCCTACAATCACCTGGTATAAACTCCCTGCCCACCCTGACCCTGGCTCTCGTCTTTTTTAATTTTTAAAATTTTTTTTGGTACCGGGAATCAAACTTTTGCTTGCTAGGCAGCCTGCTACACTGAGCTAGATCCCTGGCCCCCTGGCTCTCCTCTTGGCTCAGCTCTTTCCTTGAGGATGGCCAAGGCTTTGCAAGGAGCTGTTCTTAGCCCTTTCTTTCCCCCAGGATGAGCTGATGGCAGCCCATTCACTTTGCTTCTCCCCGGATGGCTCCCAGCTCTTCTGTGGCTTCAATCGGACTGTGCGTGTCTTCTCCACATCCCGGCCTGGCCGAGACTGCGAGGTCCGAGCCACCTTTGGTAAGCATTTGTGCCTCTTAAAGGAGAAGAGGCAAGGGTGTGCCACCTGTGTAGGGGCCTTGTGTGAACCAGGGGCCACCTGTAGGGTTTTGCTTTGCTCTCAGTTTAGCCTGGGAGGCACGTTGTACCCAGTTGCAGAGGAGAAAGCAAACTTAAGAGTTGGGGGAAGCTTTCCCAGGCTTGACCAGCTCATTAGAGAACTCCTGAACCCATGCCCTGTAAACTGTACATTTTGATCTCCAAAAATCTTCTAAGCACATGGGAGGCTGAGGCAGGAGGATCGCTTCAAGTTCAAGGCCAGCCTGGGCTACGTAGTGAGTTCAAGGCCAGCCTGAAGTACATGACAAGAGTCTGTCTCAAAAAAAAAAAAAATTTTTTTTTCTAATCTCTAGAAATTTTATTATTTTTTTGTGGTGCTGGGAATGGGACCCAGGACAAGTGCCAGGACAGGCCAGTGCTGTACCACTGAGTTATACCCTAACCCTCTTGAAAATTTGAGATGGAACTGAGTCCATTTCCTGTAGACCTTTGGCTTTCCATCCCTTCCAGGAAAAGCTGGGATTGGAGAGGGAAGATAGAAGCCTTAGGCATTTAGATGCTTTGAGAGGATAGAAGGATCTGGGAAACATCAGAGGTCTTTGTGCTGCTGGTGACAAACAAGGTGAGGGAGATGTTGAGTCCCAGCATGTTGGCGCTAGGGCAGGGAACTGTGGTGTACCTCTGCTTCTAATGCCAGGTGCCATTGCCCTCTCTTCCACGTTGTTCCTTCCTTCCCTCTCTAGCAAAAAAGCAGGGCCAGAGTGGCATCATCTCTTGCATAGCCTTCAGTCCCACCCAGCCCCTCTATGCCTGTGGCTCCTACGGCCGTTCCCTTGGCCTGTATGCCTGGGATGATGGCTCCCCTCTCGCCTTGCTGAGTGGACACCGAGGGGGCATCACCCACGTGTGCTTTCATCCCGATGGCAACCGCTTCTTCTCAGGAGCCCGAAAGGTAGGAGTCACATGCTGGGAGCCCAAAGCAGGTAGGTGGGCAGTAGTGTAGGAGTGTGCCACTGCCCATGTGGTTGAAGGGTTCATGGAGTGAGAAACAATGGTGGGAGATTAAGAAGTTAAAGAAAAAGACAAAGATAGCAGTAAAGTTTATAAAGCTGAGGCCAGGTGGAAGACTTTTGTCCTGATGAGACAAAAGGGTTGGCTTGCATCCTCAGCACCTTTATTTATAGTGTAGATAAGGAAAATGGAAAGGGGATGCCTGATTGGAACAGAGAGAATGGCTAGGGTCTGCAAGACGTCATGCTTGGTTTTCTGGCAGAATGACAGGGAGGAAGATAGTCCTCTTCTCTGCCAGGCCTTGTTCCACCACGTCCTCTTGTTGCCTGTTCTCCTCCCAAGGTGCCCTGCCTGCGGGAGGAAGCAAACAAGATTCATGTTCCTCGTTCCACGTGGGCCCTGCCTCATCCCAGGGAGGAGGCAAGTTAGGCCTGGCCATAGTGATCTACAGCGCATCGCTCCCAGCAGGAGTAAGGATACAGTCTGCAGTGTGTTGGGCAGTGCCAAGCTTTAGGCAGGTAGGGACTTTGAGGGGTGTGAGAAAGACATTCCAGACCCTGTTTTGTGTCTTTAGGATGCTGAACTTCTGTGCTGGGATCTCCGTCAGCCCAGTCATCCGCTGTGGTCCCTAAGTCGGGAGGTGACCACTAATCAACGCATCTACTTCAGTTTAGACCCGTGAGTGGCCATGGCCCCTTCCTGCCTAAGACCCTGATGCCCCAGGGGTGCCAGAGCTGGACTATAGAGTCCCAGCCTTGGGTGTCAGAGTTTTCCGCCCTAGGGGCAGTGGTCGTGTGGCAGCAAGTCTCCCTCTCTCTCAGGAGCGGGCAATTCCTAGTGAGTGGTAGCACCAGCGGAGCTGTCGCTGTGTGGGACATCAGCAGGGCTGACAATGATGGGAAGCCAGAGCCAGTGCTGAGTTTTCTGCCCCAGAAGGATTGCACCAATGGAGTGAGGTCTGCAGTTCTCTTCCATGGGGCTGGGGAGGGAGGTGATGTCTGAGGGAGCAAGCATGCCTGCTGTAGGGCTCACAGACTCTCGGTTTATCCCGCCAGCCTTCATCCTAGTCTGCCTCTGCTGGCCACTGCCTCTGGTCAGCGTGTGTTTCCAGAGCCCACCGAAAGTGGGGATGAAGAGGAGCAGGTGCCAGACCTTCCCCTACTCTCCCTGCGCCACATCCACCCTGAGTATCGACTTCAGCTCTGGTGGTGTTGGGGAGGTCCAGATCCCAGTAACCCTGATGACCAGCAGGGTGAGACCAGACAAGGAGGCACAGAGGGAGGCGAGGGTGAGCTTATATAAAAAGGTTTTATATTAAAAAAAAAGGTTTTATATGATACTAGAGTCTTTGTGTCTGTTTGGGGAGGCAAATGGCAAATGACAGGTGTGGGCTGGGTACTAGTGGGTTCCCTTGTCCTGCAGCAGGGTGACTGGCATATTGTTCCTGAAACCAGGGATTGAGAGGTGGGACTAGGCAGGAGCCAATGGAATGCTGAGCTGGTGTGAAGTCAAGTGGGTGGGGGTGGGGCTTCGTGCCATTGACTTGGCGGTTGCTAGGCAACTAGGTAAACTGAAGGGGGGGAAACCTGTTTGAAATCTCACTTCCAAGGTGGGGGCAGCAGGGGTCAGGGTGAGTAGGGCTGAGCTGGAGTGGCAGGAGCTCCTTGTCAGACTGTTGGGTGTGACTGTGTGAGACTGTGCAGACAGTGACAGACAAGACACCCGCTCACTCACACTCCACACTATTTACCATTATCCTGCAGCAGAGGGACCATTACTCAGCTTTGGGGAAGGGGAAGGGGAAGGGGTGTGGGAGCACTCCATTCTCCTCCCCTGTACTTCTCCAAGAGGCAAGAAACCCAGTAACCAGAGTCAAGGACACACAGGAAAGAGTGAAGGTGCTGGAAATACACATGTCACCTTTACCTTCCATCTTTCTGTGAGATGCAGGACGAGGGCAAGGGATGTACTCATTCAGCAGCTGGCCCAGTCTCCTTGTTTTCCCATCTGCTTCCTTCCCCCCACACACCTTGCCAAAAACTGAGAAGGGGGTCTTTGAAGAGAAACTGTCAGCAGGGGATGCAATTGGGGACCTCACAACCAAAGGGAGGGGAAAGGCCTGTGGAGGCCTGAGCTGGAGGAGAGGAATGTCGCCCCTGCCAGGAGGTGCTGAAAGCCAGGGTTCTTACACCCAAAAAGGCAACACCTCCCTTCCCCCAGGATAATTGGAAACAGCCCTTCCTGAGGAGTGTGGGCTTGGAATTGTAGGTACCCCTTTTCCTCTCTCAGCCCCACCTCTCCCCACAACCACCTAAGAAGGGCCCAAGTTTACTCTCAATTTCCTGCCTTTCACCTAACCCTCAGATACCAGTAAAGGATCCTGGAAGCAGGATCAAAAGTGACCCTGGGAATTGGGAGTTCAGCCCCCGGGGTTTGATTTGTGACTATTCCAGATTTACGTGTGACCTTGGGCAAGTCACTGGGTCGTCCCTGACCCTCGGTTTCTTCATCACTACAATGGGATCAGTAGCTCTGCCCTTCCCACTTCACACAGGTAGCTGTGACTATCAACTCAGCCGCACTTTGTGAAGTGCCTAGTCTTCAAGGTTATTCTCGTCTATGGGCTCGGGAGCAGCCGGGAGCAGTGGTGTTTTGGGATGGAAGAGGAGGAGGCTGAGGAAGCGAAAGGAGTGGGTTCCTTGGGGTGGAGAGGACGAGAGCCTTTCTGGATTTTAGAGAGGAAGGTTCCAACCGATTGGGGGGTCGGACGCAGGAGGGGAGACAGGCAAAAAGTCAGGCAGAGATGGAGACTCTGAGAGACAAAACGTGCTCGACAGACCACGCCAGGCGGCAAGGCAGGGCGGCGGGCGAGGCGGCTGCCGTGGGCGGGAGGTGCGCGAGGTGAGGGAGGTGTGGGGGGCGTGTGCCACGGGATGCTGCCGCCCGCTCCGACTGAGCTCCAGCTCGGGTTTTTCCCTCCACCATCCTCTCCCCCTCCCCGCCTCTCCTTTAACTCCCCCCTCCTGGGCTCGGGACTGGTTTCCTCCCTTAGCCCGCTGCCCTCAATCCCGGCGAGGCTGGGGCTCCGGCTCGGCGTCCCCTTCTTTGCTCCCTCTCCTGGCGCCCCATGCTGCCTCCACCTGGACCCTGGCTCCCCCAGCCCCCCACTTAGGCCGGCGCACAAATCTCGGGGTGCTGGCGCGTGGGCCGGGGGCGCAGAGGGCGCCTGGAGACAGCCCTTGCGAGGGCTCTGGTCGGGCTGAGCACTCTGGAGCGGGGGGCTCGGGGACAGCAGGAAGCAGGTCCTCGTGGGAGCTGGGGGCACCAGCCACCCATAGGGTGACCGGGGCTGAACAGCCGGCCAGCCGAGGCAATCACCCCTGGGGGTGAGCGACTTTGGGGGAGTTGGTGCCCCGCCCCCCAGGCCTTGGCGGGGTCATGGGGGGCCCCCATTCCGGGCTGGGGGGTGTGCAAGTCGGGGCCCTGCTGCTTCTGGCGTTTTGGGGGCTGGTGTCTGGGCTCAGCCTGGAGCCTGTCTACTGGAACTCGGCGAATAAGAGGTGAGCAGTCTGAGGTTGGGGATACCCCAGAACCTAAGGGCAGGGCAAGTGAGTGTGGGAGCTTTGGGGACTTGGGGCCTCGGTTCTGTGAGGAAGAAGGAGGCTGGAGAAAGGTGCTAGAGCCCTGCTGTGCCGGTCTGGGTTACAGAGAACAGTGATCTTGGGAGCCAGATTCCTGGGTCCCACACAGCTAGAGGCGGGTAGTGATGTCCATGTGTCAGGAGTTTGGAGACCCCAAAAGGGCAAAGACAAAAACTTTATGGGCAGCAGGAGGGCAGTGGAGTGGTTATTTGGATCTGTGGGAAACCTGCGTGGGGGGGGGGGATTGGAAGGAGCCTGGTTAATGTCAGCTCTCAGGAGAGAGCCGTTGAGTAGGTGCTGCTGAGGCGCTGAGGGGAAGGCAGGGGTGCCTCCCTCCCACAAGGGACTCAGCATTGGAGATGGGAGGGAAGGGGGCTCAGTTTGGGGGCTCTGGGAACAATTTCCCCAAGGCTCCTGACTCTTCAGTCTGTCTCCCAACTCTTGCCCACAACCAGAAGGTGGGTGAGCCCTTGGCTGAACAGTTTTCTGGCCAGAACGTATGCCTGCCTGCCTGGCTTGGGGCTTCTTTGTAGAAGAAACAGTGAGCCCACTCCAGCTTCCTTCCTTCCCTCTTGCCTCTGGAGTCCTGAGGACCCTGCGGCCCCCTCCCCCTGTCTTTGCTGCAGACTCTTCCATCAGGGCCTCTGTTCCATGGCATGCTTGCTTTGCTCTGAAAAGAGGCCAAGGGTCACATGAAACTTCAAGCCATACAGGGTAGGACAGAACCTTTGGGAGGTCCTCTGGGTCCCTTTGCCTCCATGCAGTTCTCATTCCCTTTAGCAAACTTTTGCGCTTAAAAAACTTCTCACTTTCCTGGGGAGGCTGAGGGAGGCCATGGGAGGTGGGGGTTGGGCTTCGGAGCTCATCAAATCAATGGTCCTAATCCTAGCTCTGCCTCTTTCAGCTGTGTGGCCTTGGGCATGTCACTTAACCTTTCTGAGTTTATAGCCTCAATCCTTACAGGTGTTATGAGGATTAGAGGTAAAGTGTTTGAACATATATGTTCATGAAAGGAGAGCTAGGATTATTGTTATTCTCTTTACTTCTCAGACTCTCACTTCCCTGTTCTGGCATCTTTCTCTCCCTCCTATATCTCTTTGGGGGATAATCTCAATGTTTTTTCTGTACTAAGGCTGACTGCAATTTGAGTATCAGGTGTAGCTCGAGGTCATAAATTAAGACTTACTCTGATAGAGTCAAGAAAAGGCAGTTTGGTGTGGTGGGGCTCTTCTGGATGTCAGGGGAGAAGGAGTGGATCATTTGGTAGTCTAGGAAGATAATGGGCAGCAGTCCCCTGGGACTTAGCCTGTGACCCTGTCTCTAGAGAGGAGGTCTCCAGGGAGGGGCTGCAGTGGTTGGCAGGTTATGGCTATGCTGGACCCATGGGTTCCCCAGCCTCCCTCCCACTTTCAGGAGATGTTGGGTTGTGTTGGTTGTGGTTAGGAAAATCAACTACTTCAACTCCAAAGCAATAGAGCACTTTACCCAGGAAGTCTGAGCCTCAGGGTAGGGGGACTGAGTAGGGGAATGACCTGGGGAAGCTGGTCCCCGCACCTTGGTTCCCTTTAGCCCCATTTAGGGCCATTGCTAAACTAGGCATTTGCCTTCTGTCCCATTAATGGCTAACTTGGGACACTGGTCAGGATCACCTTTTACACCTCTTTCTTCACCTCTACCTCACCTCTTTTGCCTGAAATCCTTGAAATTCAGTGGTGGTGTGGAGGAGGGGTGGCTCTGTCCCCATGGTTGACTGCCATGGAATAGTGAAATCACCTGGGAGGGGTGGGCTGTGTGGTTCCAGAGAGGCCAGCTCCTTGGTAACTGGCATCCTGTTGCCATGGCAACAGCACCGGTGATGGAGCGGGAGATGGCAGTGTGCATGTGGTGAGGGCGGGCTGAAGAGTGCATTTGGGCACACCAAGGGGCAGGAGACCTCTGAGCCTGGCTTCCTGCTGCTTCTGATGTGAGCTCTCAGAGTCCTTGGTGCCCAAGCTCACAGAACAGACTTTCCACTCAGACAAAGGCAGGTAGATGAGAGCCTGCCTGAGAATTGCTGTCCTGGAGGGGTGAGGGAAGGAAAGCTTTGGGGGCCACACCCTTGATATTCCTTTCTTGTCCACCTGGCCTTTCTCCCCACAGGTTCCAGGCAGAAGGTGGTTATGTGCTATACCCTCAGATCGGGGACCGCCTAGACCTGCTTTGCCCCCGGTCCCGGCCTCCTGGCCCCCACTCCTCTCCTAATTATGAGTTCTATAAGCTGTACCTGGTAGGGGGTGCCCAGGGCCGGCGCTGTGAGGCACCCCCTGCCCCAAACCTCCTCCTCACCTGTGACCGGCCAGACCTGGATCTCCGCTTCACCATCAAGTTCCAGGAGTACAGCCCTAACCTCTGGGGCCACGAGTTCCGCTCACACCATGATTACTACATCATTGGTATTGCTGGGGAGTGGGCAGGGTCAAGTGAGAAGTAGTCCCTGGGATGGAGGGTTGATGAGGGGGTGTTCATTAGAATCAAGAGGAAGACCCCTGTCCCCTCAGTGGTGTTCCTGCCAGGACATGGGGTTGGAATAGGGGCTAGACCCTAGCGTGCCAACTTCTCCCTCTGCTCTTCTCTCTCAGCCACATCTGATGGAACCCGGGAAGGCCTGGAGAGCTTGCAGGGTGGCGTGTGCCTAACCAGAGGCATGAAGGTGCTTCTCCGAGTGGGACAGAGTGAGTGGGGCTGGGGGGATACCTGCCGGAGGCAGAGGGAGTTCAGTCAGTACTCGGAGAAATGGTTAGGGCAATTGTCTCAGTCTCTCTCTTGGGTCTTCCTCATCTCCAGGTCCCCGAGGAGGGGCCATCCCCCGAAAACCTGTGTCTGAAATGCCCATGGAGAGAGACAGAGGGGCAGCTCATAGCCTGGAGCCCGGGAAGGAGAATATGCCAGGTAGGAGTCGGAGCGGGCCTCCAACCCTCTCTACTCGCAGACCCCAGCTGCCCTGCCTTCGCCCTCTCCCTCTCTCCTGTTTTGGGGGTGGTGATACAGGAAAGAGAAGAGAGGATGGGAGGGTGGGAGGGGAATGGAAGCCAAATGAGGAAAAGACTCAATTAGAACTAATTAGCCAAGTCAGTGCTTCAATCAGTGCTGTCAGAGAAGTGGGGAGGACGATGTGGCAGGGAACCGCAGGGCTGGACACCTGGATTCTGAGTGGGGCTGGGGTGGGGAGGTAAAGTGGGGTCCCCAAGGGGTTTGGGTACCACTGGGGAAGCCCATGGGTACCCCAAGGCTGGGTATTCAGATGTCCAGGTGGCTTCTTCAGCCCCCCCCCTCTTTCCTCCTTCACCCCTTCCCTGCCAGGTGACCCCACCAGCAATGCAACCTCCCGGGGTGCTGAAGGCCCCCTGCCCCCTCCCAGCATGCCCGCAGTGGCTGGGGCAGCAGGGGGGCTGGCGCTGCTCTTGCTGGGCGTGGCAGGGGCTGGGGGTGCCATGTGTTGGCGGAGACGGCGGGCCAAGCCTTCGGAGAGTCGCCACCCTGGTCCTGGCTCCTTTGGGAGGGGAGGGTCTCTGGGCTTGGGGGGGGGAGGGGGGTTGGGACCTCGGGAGGCTGAGCCTGGGGAGCTAGGGATAGCTTTGCGGGGTGGTGGGGCTACAGATCCCCCCTTCTGTCCCCACTATGAGAAGGTGAGTGGTGACTACGGGCATCCTGTGTACATCGTGCAGGATGGGCCCCCCCAGAGCCCTCCAAACATCTACTACAAGGTATGAGGGCTCCTTCCACTTGGCCCTCCTAAATCAAGCCCTTCTTAGGGTGCTCCTCTGGTTTAATTCATGGTTTGAGGGACACCTCTGGCATCTTCTTGGCCCCCTTTGCTCCCACTAGCTCCTTTATTCCTCTGGCTGTTCCTCTTGTCTCTACTTTTAGGATCCCTTAAGATTTCCACTGCATCCCTCCTGCCCTCCCATTTGGCCATGGGCATCCCTATGTCTCTGTGTCCCTTGGGGAGGAAGCACAGGCTCAGCCTCCTCTCTGATCATGACCCAGGTATCCATGTCCCCTTTGACCACCCAGAGTAGGGGCAGGAACAGTCTGTCTTTTGGTTGGCACTTCTTTATGCCTCTCACTGTTTTTCTCTTCTTTCTTTCTCTTATTCTTTCTCGCTTTCCTGTCTTTAGGTCTGTTCTTTTCTTCCCTAGCATCTTCCTCCTTACATCTCCCTTTACCTTCTTGGCTTCTTATCCTGTGCCTCTCCCATCTCCTGGGTGGGGGGCATCAAAGCACTTCTCCCCTTAGCTCTCAGCTCCCCTTCTGACCTCTCATACCAAGCACTCCCCTCAGTCCACCAAAAATGGGGGCCTTATGGGGAAGGCTCTGGCACTCCACCCCAGCTCAGGGCATGGGTAGTAGGGCCTCCTCTGCCCTGCCCCAAGCCTCTACATACTTACTCCAGCCATTTGGGGTGGTTGGGTCATGACAGCTACCATGAGAAGAAGTGTCCTGTTTTGTCCAGTGGCTGACAGCAAGATATGAACCAGTTGGGACATTGTGGACTTGGTCTGATGCTGAATGGGCCACTTGGGACATGAAGTGACTCTCTCCAGACAAGAAGTGGCTAGGCCTGGACAGAAATGGCCTGGAAAGTGGCAGAAGCAGTGCAGCAGGAACTGGAAGTGCCTTCATCCAGGACAGGAAGTAGCACTTCTGAAATAGGAAGTGGTCTGGCTGGAACTCCAAGTGGCTTAGTCCGGGGGGGTTGGGGGTGGAAGGTGGATGGTTCTTACCTGTGGAGAAGGGGGCAGGAGGAACTTCCTGTTTTAGGAGGAAGCTGGAACTTACTGACTGTAAGAAGACAGAGGTGGACTGAGGAAGACTTTCCTAGTATTCAGTGGCACTTCCCAGGACCTCCCTTCCCATGTGCTCTGTGTGATTTTAAGACAGCTAAGATAACTGCCATCTGCTATGGCAGGCCCAATTTGTCTTGTTTGTCCCTTCCTGTATCTCAATATAATCTCTGTTAATCAACAGGACTACCCCAAAAGCCCATGTGTTCTCCCCCAGTGACCAGATGGCTGTCTTGTTCATTGCATCTTCCCTTCAGAGCCAACACGGCTCCCTTCTTAGTGACCAAAATGGTGGCCTATCGACTGGTCTAGTTGTCAGTGGTACTTAGAAATGGCCACTGTCTCCATAGTCACCAGCCTATACCTCTTCCTGCTCTCTAGTGCACAGTTGGCTGTTGCCTCAGTTTCCTCCCAGCTCAGTTTTATTATAAGATCAAAGCTGCCCTTGGACATCAAGTCACCACCTCAATCACCAGCCAAGATGGTTGCTTTGTCCACCAGAGGTCAAGTCATCTCTCTGGTGCAGTAGTTCCCAGCTCCTTCCAGGGAACAGGAAGTTGATATTGCCATGGGGGAGGTGGCGGGGTATGGCCGTCACCTCAATAGTTTTACTGTAAAAGGGAAATTTGAACAACAAAAACCAAAAAAAGAATAAAAAACTTCAAAAGTTGCTGAGAAGGCTGGAGAATGATGATGTGAATCTGGTGGTCAGGATGGCTTTCAAGCTGAGGGGTGGGTGATGTGAGGAGGGATGGGGAGAGAGAGTTGATTGGAGTGTGAGGTGGGCAGTCCGTGGGGAGGGGATCATGGGCTGGGAGAGAAGGCTGAGGAAGGTGAACACCTCCATCCAGGGGAGGGAGAGAACTCAGGCTGAGGGGCTGCCAGAACACTCAAATGAGGATGTTCAGGAATTACAGTCACACATACATAGTGTCTGTTGCCAATCTAAGCACCTGGGAAGCGAGGGAAGTCACAATTAGCAGACTGGTGAAAACATGTGTGTAGTAGAATCCTATTCCCTACCACCCCTCCTCAAGGCACCTCTTGAGTTTTGTCATTGGAGGCTGATGTAGCTGATCAGAAGAAAGTAGGAAGGACTCAGGGACCCAGGTGTCAAGTGCTCATTTCCAGCTTGTATACTCATCACCCGCCTCTTCTCTCCCAAAAAGCCCAGGTGCCCAGCCCCCTAGACTCAGTCCCATTCTCCAACCACAAAAGCGCCCATCAGGAGCATCACTGGAGCAAGTCAGCAGGGGTCACAACCTCTGCCCTTCCCACCCTTCCCCTGACTTTAGGTTCCCTCCCTGCTGTCTCCCATCTGCCTGGAGGTCAAGGGTCCCCTGTCCCTCCCCCACCTCAGCCAGAGACCTGGGTCCTGAGAGGTGCAGGCGATGCTAGAGGGGAGTTGGAAACTGGGGAGCCAGGTGCTGGGCTGTCTGGAATTTACTCCTGCCTTCGGAGCCCACACTGGAGCTGCCTGAGGTGGGGAGGCTCATGGGGGGTGGAAGGGCTGATCCCTGGCCCTTAGTGGGGGTTGGTTGTCTTGGCAACATCCCCTTCTCCACACAATGGGAAGCCCCCCTCAGCCTCCCGCGTGGATGGAGCCGACAGCCCCATCGCTGGCTATCAGCCTCAGGGACTTGGCAACCGTCACTATGGCAACTCAGAGCCCAGCAACAGGGCCCACTGAGAAAGGGAGGGGTCCAAGATTGGGGCAGGGCTGTGTGTGTGAGGGGCAAAGGAGCAGAAAGAGAGTCCTCCCTGACACATGCATCTATAGGTATAGGTGGAGAGACAGGAGGGAAGAGACATGGGGATAAATTGTCTCTGTGACAGACAAACACCTCACCAAAGCAGCCAAGACCTCATAACATGCTGAGAGACAGGAAGACACCTAGGGACAGATGAACAGCTGGGAAGAGGAACAGCACATACCACACAGCACCCTGGGACACACCCCCTCAGAGCCCTGGCATCTACAGACTGCCAATCAACCACCTGACATTCACACACATCCCCTACAGCCTTTCACGTGTGGAGTGACTTGTGTGTCTTTAAGCTATTTGAAAATGCTAGTGACTTCCACACAGAACAACACAGAACAACCACCTTGTTGGCTTTTCTGGGTACAAGAGCAGACAGGCCCCTATGCAGCAACTACAACAAAAAGAATATGGGAGCAGGAAGATATTAATTGTTTGTTCACTCACTTGGTCACTTGCCATCATGTCTACTTTGTTCCAGGTACTATGGCTGGGAATTCATGGGGAATTCATGGTGAATAAGACAAAGTCCCTGCTTTCATGAAGTCCATATTTTTCTGGGTGTATTTATTTATAATTTAAAAAATAGGGGCAACCCACTTTCCAGTGCCCCTTCTGTCTCTCTTAGACAGAAGCTTTCTTTCTCTCAATAAATTTTTCCTTCTCTGAAAAAAAAAAAAAAATCCACATCCCTCACTTTCCAGTGCTGAGGACAGAACCCAGGGCTCATGCATGCCAAGCAAATGCCCTCCCACTGAGCCACACCCTCAGCCCTGAAGTCCACATTTGGACAGGGAAGAGGATAATATAATTTCAGGTAGTGAAAAGCAATATAAAGAAAACAATGGGCTGGGGATTTAGCTCAGTGGTTTTGCCGCCTGCTGAGCAAGCACAAGGACCCAAGTTCGATCCCCGGTACCAAAAAACAAACAAACAAACAAAAAGAAAACGGTAACAAGATGGAGAGTAACAGGGAAATGCTTCAGATTAGGTCAGGAAGATTCTTCTGAAATAACTAGGAACTGGAATAATGAGGAGTAAGCCAGGCACTATGGGGAAGGGCATGCCAGACAGAAGGAACAGCAAGTGCAAAGGCACAGAAGTGAAATCTTGTCCTGTTCAGGAATAGCAAGGACATTGGACCATACACACATGCCCTGTTCTCCCCCAGCATCAGCCAGTGGGGGAGCAAGTCACTTAGGGCCTAAGATACTCATTTAGGAAGTTGATCTCATTCATTTCCTCCTTCTTTTCTTTTCTTTCTTTTTTTTTTTTTTTTGCATTCGATGGTCTCTTCTTCCCTCCTTCCCTCCCTCTCTGCCTTCCTTCTCTCCTTTATCTTCTTCCTTCTTTTATGATGCTGGGGCTTAATCCTTGTATGCTCTACCACTGAGCTACAATGTCAGCCAGTTATATTTTATTTATTTATTTATTTAAAACAATTTTGGGGGGTATTAGGGATTTAACCAAGGACCTTTGCATTGAGCTACATCCCCAGTCCCTATCCATCTGTTTACTTATTTATTTTTAATTTTTTTGGTTTTTGTGACAGTGTCTCACCACGCAGTTCAGGCTGGCCTCGAACTCGCTACGTAGCCCAGGCTGGCCTTATACTCATAGTGCTCCTCCTGCCTTAGCCTCCCAAGTGCTGGAATTACAGATGTGCATCAGCACGCCTGAACCCAGTCCCCTTATTAAATTATTATTTTAATTAATTAATTAATTATTCTGTGTACAGGGGATTGAACCCAGGGCCTTCACACAGAGCTACATCCCCAGTCCCTTTTTATTTTTTGAGACAGGCTCTCACAAAGTTGCCTATGTTGGGGTTGAACTTGCAGTCTTCCAGCCTTAGTCTCCCAGAGTGCTGGGTTCACAAGCAGGCAATACCACACTTATCTTAGTTTTTATTTTAAGACAAGGTCTTGCTATATTGTCCAGGCTGGCCTTGAACTTGGATCCTTCTGCCTCAGCTTCCTAAGCAGTTGAGTAGCTGAGATTACAGGTGTGCACCACCCGCCTGGCTTTCAACTTTGTTTCTTGTATGTCTGTGAATTTCTTGTGTTTTCCTTTAAGCTCTAGGAGGGCAAGGATGATGCTCTGAGTTTTGGAGAGCTAAGACAGACACAAAGTCCAAAGCATAGAATACAGAACAGTCAAGCAGGGTGGAAATAACAGGATGGAAAGGGCGAGGGGGACCACAGAGCTGCCCCCTACCCCAATAGCATAGGATTAAGTCTGACCTAGGGCTTTAGCTATGGATGGGAATGCAAACTTTGTCATCCTTCTGAACAGAAGCAGCTGAGGGATATGAATTTCATGTGAGGAGTCTCTGTGTGGTTTGTGCTGGAGGGTGTTAAAGAAAGGGGAGTGGAGGGTTGGGGATTTAGCTCAGTAGTTCCTCCTCCTGCTTTGCAAGTGCAAGGACCTGAGTTCGATCCCTGGTACAAAAAAAAAGAAAGAAAGAAAGAGAGAGAGAGAGAGAGAGAAGGAAAGAAAGAAAGGGGAGTGGAGTGATGAGTTGCAATAGTAATTTCTAATAGGGAATGGCTTATAACACATCTGGAATTTCAGTTAGAATGGAAAAAAGTAGAGCTCCCTAAGAGGCTACACGGGAACCCACGGACACGGGGGCTTCCTGGTGAGAGTTTTGGGGTCGTAGGCAGCCTGAGAAAAGTGTCGTGGATTGGGTAGGAAGCGAGGGGTTGGCTGGCATGGGCTTGTAGAGTTGGGTAGAAGAAGGAAAAAGGATGCAGAATGAGTGGCAATGACAGGCGGGTAGAAAGAATGATGTGGAGGTGGAACCCTTGGAGGGTGTCCGGAGGTGTCCATGCCCAGGTACCCCTGATTACCATAGGGAGTTGAAGCCATTGGTTTCCTGGTTCTCCCTCTTCCCCTGTTGCCAGCAGAAACTCAGGCACCAGCTCCCCCCAAACCCAGTGGCTGGTGGGGTGTGGGGGACTGAGCAGCCTCAGGGGGCGGCAGCTGGTGAGTGGGGAGGAATCTGTGTGCTCAGCAAACAGCAGCCTCAGTGCCCAGTGGCTGCCTCCTCCCTCATCAATCAGCCCCAGCCAAATGTCCTTGCATTCCCACCACCCCAAGGGGACTGGGGCTGGGCCAGGGTCCCCAGGGGAGTGAGATGGGGTGGGTGGGGGTGGTGCTTGGCTTCCCATCCCTTGGTCTCTGTTCTCCTCTCTGGAAGCTCTCAGATCTTCATGTCATGGAATGACTCTATCCTGGCCCCTGCCATCAAGGGGGCATCAGCTACAAATCACCTGTAGGGGGCTACTTGGGGAAGGAGGGAAGAGGAATGAGTCATGGCTGCAGAGGAATCCACTTTGGTTCTCACGGGACTGGCTCAGATCACAGCCAGCAGGGAGGCTGCTGGCACAGAGTCCCTGTCCCCTGAGCTGGCCTCTTTGTCCTGATGGATGCTCTGGACAGAAGACTCTGGACCTGACACCCTGCATGTTCTCTCTCTTCCCATCTTCTCCTAGGCCCCAGCCCTCATGCCATACTTCCCACCAACATCTAGAGGTCTGGCACCCCAAGTCACCCCAAATCTGCTGCTCTCTATTGAAGACTGGGGCCTCTGTAGATCTTAGCCTCTGGCTCACTGTCCCGCTCCTCAGCCTTTGCTCCCCTCAGGGACCCAGGCGTCCTGCCCACTCCCTTCACCATAACAACCATTCTTTTTGGAGTTGCTTAAGACTTTAATATCATTTCATTAAGTCAGTAAGTTCAGAGAGGGTTGGGGGCACAAAGAGACTGGGGGTGGGCCAAAGAGGTCCAAGGTAGGGGGGAAGATGGGAAGAGCCCCCCTCCCCTCTCCGTGGAGATGGCTCTGAGAAATCAAATATTGACAGTGAGAGAACAGAACTTAATAAATCTGGGACAGGGGTGTGTG